CAACAATGGATTAATGTGAAGTTATTACCGTGCCTGCGGAATGGTAATTTTGCACCAAACAAGTGACGTTTTATTTCATTGTGAGTTACCGTGTGAGCACCTGGAGAAATCGAATGATCCTCAGGTTCAGCAGTATAGCGAGTTTTACACCAATAGGAGAGATAATTGCGAATTCATGGTGGTCTTACGCCAAGCGTAGGGTTGAAACTAGGACCAAAGTTTGACACTCAAAAGTTCGGGAGAGTGTTTCCACTTTTCCGTCTATGACAGAAATCTCGGTGATCTTCTGAAACTGCTCCTAGCGTCAATGACGTTCCGAACTATATGACGTTATACCAGTACGTCAAACACGGTCAGATGTTGTTTACTAGTTTTCTTTATAATGCAACAAAACGTAGTGAACAAGACCTCAACATTAGAAAATCAGCTGGAAGGAATGAAGTATCTGACATCTGAACTGACCTATAAACGTTGCCAGACTGAAAAAACTATGTCTTATGGTTAGTTTTATATTTTGGGCGGTTCCTGAAGTGTTTTGTTGCTTTTACATGCTTTTATGACATGAGAAGACGAGCTCACATAGTTAGGGTCGTCAAACCACCTGTCTGAAAACTTAGTGTCCCCAACAAATTTTAGTCTTTTCAGCCAATCGTCTATCCAATATATTGTGACTTATACGAGGAAACTCCAGCATGATATAATCAAAACTTTGGAATGGAGGATAAGAAGAACCGGGTCATTTTCAGAAATCCATTGGGCTAAGCTGAGATTATTTCCTCGCAAAATTAAACATCAGAAGTGAATAAGCGGATTACGAAAGAGATTTGTCGCATTCGAACAGACTGTGAGTGATTCTTGGATAGCCGGTAGATTATGCCAATGGCTGGATGTTTATCTGTTACGTAATAGGTTCCCGGTAGGTGAAAATCGTAAAGTGGATCCGCGAGTTTAAACGGGTCAGCAAAGAAGTATAGTGTTATTCCGTGAAGAAAAATACTCACAATTTCGCTGAAAAACAGTTCACGACCGGTTTCGTTCTTCTTCAGTCTCATCAGCTAGGCGCAGTCACTGAGTTTTCGTCAAACTTATGTTCTGCTTGTGCAATATTTGCATATTCTGTCTGATAAACGCCAGGCTGTACGACCAATACTCGATGTTCGCCACCAGCCTAGAAACAAATGTACAAAATGGCCAACGACATACATTTCCAGACAATCAGTTTGCTCGAGCCTAATTAAATGAGTGGACAGTAACAGAGCCTGACAAAATGCAATCAAAACTTCCAGGGTGAGTTGCCGGTAGTTGAGAAACTAGTAGAAGTATCACCCGCATCAATCTCATTTTAATGTCTGAATCATGACGCATGAACTGGTGAGCACGTTTACTCTTTAAGGGAATAAGAGTGGTTCACTTAATCCATTCGTCGGTTTCAGTTGACTAGCCGCCCCATCAAGTGGGGCCACAGAGTTTTCTTGCTTTTCAGTCGGTCACTAAATCCCCGGAATTTTTCCATTCGTATCCCTACCTTTCTTTCCTCATGGAGCAAAAATTCTGACTAGTCAATAATGAAAGTAAGAAGTAGTAAACTCATGTATTTATTTCGCTAGAGCTCACAGTTGCTGTAATATAGCTGACTCTGTCGAAACTTTAACTCCACCACATCACCAGCACAGTACGAATGATACGTGGTTTATTGCACCGTGATAGGCGAATTCGTTCGGTTTTAAGTGATGTGTTCGGTCTATTCTGTGTTTGAATCAACAAACTAATAATTGGTCGGGTTGTTCGTGAGTCTTGGTGCACGAAAGGAAAGATAAGCCTGGGGAAGGACCACCAGCCTCCCGCTTACCGGACAGGTGCTGTGCCGGCGGAGCTACCCAGTCTCCATGACATTCATGCACGCGTGATTTATAACAGAGTCATCGCATTTCTGTTCCCTGGATTAATAGCTAACATCTGTCAGTGATGGACACAATGGACAAGACGATGGTTTCGTCTAGATATCCAAATGTTTTTTTATTCGTGAGTCGTTTTGATCTGGGAGCCGGAGTACATATTACAGGCGAAGGAGAGGCGCAGCTATCTTCTTACTTGATTAAACAGGTTTCTTTAGGGTATCTTGGTTGCACTAGAAACTGAGACACTGTTTATTGAAGTAGGTTAGTGGCGCGAAAATGACACAAGATAGGTATATGTCGTGCGACGCCTCACATGCTGATGGCGGGCTAAATATAGATCTAGCATGACTTTGTCCGTTGTGAGATCAAGTATTATAAAGTTAGCATTAATAGTGTCTTGGCGTTGGAAATGAGGCCACTGTTCTGAACACTTTTAAAACCATAGTTACCTTAAAAGATGCAACGTAATTCACTCCAATCCCTTTGAACCCGATTTACTTTCTTTTTCATCGGTATAATAATAACACTCGCTTTTCATATAGGTCAAGTTCGCGCAATTATCAAATGCCCCTCTCTTCACACTGTACACAATGAATAGGCATGCAACTCGGACCAAATACACACTCGCGCGTACAGTACATGAAGTAAGCCAAGCACCACACGTCTCCACAGACAGCTACGGAACACGTGTAGCAGTTCTACTGCAGAGAAGACACGTCCCGCGTCCGAAACTTCACTCAGGAACTCTCAACATTTGTCCTCACATGATAAGTCACTTTTTGGTTTATCTCCTTCTTGCGTTGTATTTATTTGCATCAAGTACGCATAACTTTCGTAATCATCATTATTCTGGTGAAACGGACAGTTGTTAGTTTTTTTTAGCTTCTGATCTAATTACGTTACAACCAGATCATTAACAGAATAAATTTACTTGAGACAGTGTTAGTGGTCTGGGAGACCGTGAAGTGTCGTTCTAACAGAAATAGCCTCATGCAGAGAATCAGTCGAGGATTGATCTGTTTGTGGAATATCATTTTATGGATTAGACTCCTACTGAATTATTAGGAGAGAAGACAATTTGGATTTAGACTCAAGGAACCATTTTATGCACTCATCATCTCAAAAACCCATAACGAGGCAAATCTTGCTACTGGGCTACAACCGAAATTGTCAAATACCGAATTGGTAGTGCTTCTTGTAAGTGATAAACATACGCACACCTTGGATTAAATGACTTCCGAAATCCGGATCAAGAATCAATAGACATTAAGCAAATCAGATTGATCAATTCACCAACCCGGCTCTTCAAAGCATGTATGTACTGGTCTGAACCACCTCTGCATGCTGTAACTCTGGGTCAGCCAATCCTTTATTTGTTGGATTCAAAAGGTGTGCAGCCGAGAAGATGCGTAAATGAACTCTTCAGTTGGCAAACAAAAGCAATTAGTATGCGTCGTTGAGATGCACCTACCCCTGAGCAGAACAAGCAGGGACTATTTAACTGCCACTTGAAGTGAGCATAACAGGTCTTTCGCACCACTGACATGGAAGCCAACCTACATGGTATTGAACTGATGATAGATGTATTTATGCGTCTGGACAAGGCAAACCCAGATGGAGTAAATAAGGAAGAACTTATCCGGGAATGTGAAGCTCAGAAATTGGACGCGGAGCAAGTCACTGTGAGTGCACGTCCCCAACTAATTGTTTAAGCTATTGCGCCTACAGAGTTTGATGTCTCCCACTCATTCTAACATCAGATTTCCACATCAGGATGAATCTGTGTGAAGAGACTTAAAACCCTGGTGTCCTTGAATCAAAACGCTTTTGCTCAACGTTTCATACTCACTACCTCCATGTTCCTCCCTACGATACTGTAGTCATGCTAGGAACTTTTGTCTCTCTTTCTTCTAGAAATGGCTGGAACGTTTTGGAATGAAAACCATACGGATGGATGAATTTTGCAGTCAGTTTGGTTTTAACCTAAAAGAAATGTAGGTCTTAATCTTAATCTGAATCCTGACGTGTAACCTTTTATCTGAACTGTATTTCTTATTTTCTAAACCAGATTTTTCCAACTTCTTTGTTTTTTTAAGCGGCGAGTCACGTGGATGAGATTATACCTTTATCTTCTTTTAAGGATACTTGAAGAGGTCGAAAGAGCAAATGCGCGCTCTGGTGAAGCTCCGAAATTGTCCGAAGACATCGAACTGATTTCGACCACGATGTCCATGACGAAACAGGTAGAGATCACGGAAAAATTCAAAACCTTGGTCAACGAGTCGGGAGAAGATGAGGCCAAGGCAGGATTGATTCCAAAAAAAATGAAGGAATATTTGGATGAAACTTTTGAACATGGGTGGCAAGTGGTGATGGTGGAGGGAAAATATTGGATGCATTTTTCTCACGAGCCTTTTACTTCACTACAGTTTCGGTATAATGATTATATCTGCTTGGTTTGGCGCACACCAGAAAACTGAGATGCGACTTTGCGCATTTACTGATGTGAAACTGTTTGGATAGAAATATATTGATGTTATCTGAGTTTTATTCCCATCGATAGACGGGCGTGGGCTATGTGCAGTTCGTTAAGATCTTTGCAAGAAAATGCAGAATTTGGCAGGACCTTGGTAAATATTCGTGTTTAGTTAGTTCGAAAGTAAACTTTCATCTAAGGAAACACAAATTCTCTGCAAACTAGGATTAAGTTCACCACTATTTTCTCAAATGTTAAAGAGCGATAGATATATGAGATTTTTTTTTCAATTTCTGCGTGTTTTGATTGAAGTAAGCGGGCACGCACACGATATGGTCGAGTTTTATTCTAGGTTTTCTCGATTACAACGGTGGAAATACCCATTTTTGACAGGGTGTCTCCAACACTTTTGATAGATAGGTTGGATTCATTATTTATTTGCAAGATGATGTGTGAGATACGATCAGAGTCTCGTGCCATAGTGGAACTCGTCTGCAGCTATAACAATACTCTTTTTGCGGTATTTTAAGTTCAAGCGGTGTAATGAATCTCCAGTCTTCTGGACATTTTACTCTGTCTTCCCAAAAATTACAGCCTGTTTTCTGAGTTCTATGGAGGTAGCAAAAGTTCATGGACGATTGCTAAGTTTAGAGAACGCCCACAGCATCCGTCCCCTATTGGTCCTATCAGCCTGCATCCAAGCGCTTTCAGCACAGTTGGGTTATTTCTATAAACTGAAGGTGTGCATGTGAGTTGTTAGAAATTAAGCGTGCATGTTGGTAAATATTTGAATCTTGCTTTGGGTTTGTAAACTTGTCAAAACTTTTTCAGAGCTAGTCACCAGACTGCTGTAAAGTAGCGTAAATGAAAAAAAGCATCCTCAAGGATGATTTGAACTAATGGTGGTATATTCACTGGGTGGGGTATGGCTCACCACTAAGGTGACTGGCGCTGTCTCGAAGATATGTTCTGCCATATTCCACAGAAAGCCTTTGGCGGTTATATCACGAAGATTCTGAGTGATGTCCAGTTTGTCCACTCAGATCCGTTTATTCTGCTAGCACGCACAAGATAACAAAGTCTGCAGGCTGAAATTCCCTCTGGATTTTCGGGGAAGTTGGCAGAACGGTCGGCTTTTTTTGACTAAGTCTTCTTGGTGCATCATTTCGCGAACGGTGTGTACATATGTGATCTATGTAGCACAAACTCCAAAAAAGTGCTCAAGGATAAACACCGGAAGTTATTAAGCATTCAGTACGACGATTAGGAAACGTCAAGCTATTCCACTGGAGGTTTTTGACCATGAATTCAACTTTAGTTCTGTTCTTGCTATCACCCATTTTTGTAGGCTATTATGGTTTTAAAGAACTGAATTGTTGGGGACAAGAAGGTTTTCCCGGGTCACATGACTTCGTCGGTTGCACCAGTTTCAGCAAATTGCACAGCGGTCTAATTGCCTTTTCTAAGGACTTGAAGGTCACAACAATGTGTATCCGAGGATGCTTGATGGATTTTATGGGCTTTAAGAATCGTACGAATGGGTGTGGCATCACTATTCATTCACTTACCATATACCGCCTAAAAACCAACGGATAACAAACTCGAATAAAACAAGCGGAGGTTAGTGCTTTTGACAGACCATCTAAGCTACAAAACACCGACTTGTCAAATCGAATTATAGATCCCCATGCTTGCATACGCAAGATATTGCTCTGTTGCTAAACTCATCCAAATATACCAAGATTGTTGACAAATGCTCGCATTTGCACACGAATTTGTTTTTGAGAGGGGTCTAGAATAAATCCAGTCGAATCTCTTGGTTAACATGACCCACTTCAAACAGAACATACAATTGACGGAAACTCGGAGAGTGTGCCTACCAATTGAGCCTCAAAAACGACGAGACTAATGGTTGGCTGCTGAAGGGCTGAAGTTGAGTTTAGTGCCAAGATTGTGTTTTGACTGAGGTGAGCTGGACATATCGGGATCCCGGCTGCTGTTGCCGAACCACTAACAACTATTACCTGCTATCTGGAGTCAGTTGTAAAAAAGCATCCTGGCCTTAAAGTTTTCAAAGCCTTGACATGATTTGGGGGCGTTGATGAAGCCTTTCTTTGAATTTGGACAAAAACGTGCTGCACGAAGCAGTGCAGCACGTTTGTTCTCCAATGTTTGATCTTAACGCCCATAATCCCTTAGATTCAGTTATAGTGCAAATCATAGCCACCTAATCTCTTGTCGTGATCCTAGCTTGACAGTAATCTCAAATTACAGCACACATTTTCACATTTGTGTGCCGCTCAGTCAATTAAAGGGTCTAATGCTCACAGATTTGACTTTGGGACGGAATCCCCGCTTTGCACCATGGCCCTGTAAGTAGGGTGTTATTTTCGGATTAGATGGGCAAGTCACTGGCTTTGGGACACATAACTGACCTCTTTCAACGTTCTATTAGGAAGGAAACGTTGTTCTTTCATCCTTACTCATGGATTTTTCAAAAGCGATTCGGAGAGTTTCCTTATGTTCATTTTGTTTCGGCTACTACAGGGAAAGCCCTGCCAGTCTGGGGAGGTCTCGTTTATTCAAAAGCGCTTGCTTAGCAGACCATGCTATAAAGAGAGGGCTGACTTCTGGGTCGACCTTTTACTGCAACCATCCAAACAAGCAAGTGGCATACGTTGTTAAAAGACAGAAAAATTTTGTGCACAGTCTTTGTTTAGATGACAGGGTCTAAGTAGGGTCAAATTGTTGCTCCAGAAAAAAATTTTTATCGGTCTCTCTGTATTACTTGGACAAGCTTGCTAACAACAATGTAAACCAAATTAAAATACTATTACAGGAATCCAGCTGATAGGAACGATTCAGATGCGTGTGATGTAAATAAATAGCCAAAGAGTAGTTTCTGAGCACAGACACTTTAATCCATTTTATCACCACGGTCGGAAGAGTTGGGTTATTAACAACTGATTTTTTCCCATTAGTCCCGGGCGCAAAAAAATCTGAACAATGGTGCAAAGAGGATGCAAGGAAAATAAAAACGCGTTTTTGTCTTATGCAGTATTGCGAGAGCAGGGAGTCACTTCCAAATCTCTTGTGGCTGGCTGGTCATTGATTCCCGTGCGAACAGTAGTGGCCTTGGTTAGATTCGGTGAATTCGAACAATCTGGAGGTCAGATAAAGATTTACAGATGTGAATGAATTTTCAGGGTTTTAATGTGAGCTGATTGGATCAGGTGATTTGAAGGCGATGATATCGGGGTCTGCGGATATATGTGTTGTTTTGTCTTTCACATACTTTATGCTTGCTTTTGGGCCAGCTGAAGGGATATTTTTGGATGATATTCAGCGACACTGAACTGGCCCGCGCTGATTGTTTCAATCTGTTTTCAAAGGGGGCTGGCTCAATAGACACCCAGGGCAAACGCAATCTACGAAGGATGAAGCGGATGGCCTTGTGCGAGCGAGGAGCTCTGATGCCCGCTGGTTTCAGCAACAGTCACAGCCAACCTCGCCCCTGGATGATAAGTTATATGCGCTCAGTGACATGCTAGTCTCAGTCTTTGCACGACTGGAATAATATATTCCCTGTCAGTTGGCTATCATCATCATAACCAAATTATGTGCTCAAGTGGAAAGCACAACTAGACAAATGGTCATCAAATAAACCATCGATTAAATAGCATCACACTCATCCGACTCTAAGAACTACACCATCTGGTTCGAAGAAACCGTGGATTGTACCGTGTCACCATTGGAACATAACTGTGGAAGTTTACGTAAGAGGGTTGACATCCTTGACTTTGCTGAAGAGTAGCAGGCTGGCATCAATAGAGTGGAGCATTTCCGGTCGCTTCTCAGAATTCACGCTTCCAATGCATTTCTTCGCACGCGGAAAGCCGTCTCTAAACCATCTCCAGCAAGCTCAAGGCGTGCCGGCCAAAGGAAAGTACAGTTCCCACTATCCAAACCTCACGTAACTAGAGACGAAAAGATGGAGCATCTGTTGTGCACGACAGGTCTTGATAGGAGTTGTACGAAGGACGCGGAACAGTACTAAATACGGGCATCGTCTGCTCCGGAACACGCGAATAGGTGACTAACTAGTGCAGCGATGCCACTGCATTGAAGTTTTATCAAGCCAGATACAGGGGAGTAGTTGGCAGCACGATACGCTCGATGGGTAATATCTCCGTAGGTTTAGACAAGCTCACGCCAAGAATGCCTCGCACTTTAATCCAAGAGATCTTGTTGGGCATTTCAGGTTTCTGTTATTAGCTGCGGATCACCACCGTATTTGTATCGTTCCGAGTTTACCTTAGTTTTGATAGGTCCCAAATAATTTTATTTGACCAACTGAAACCCATGTACGTGTCCTCCATTCTTGTTCAGTGTTTGTAGATCTCTCGAACCGTAGATTGCACTCTGCTCCTAGTACAGTTAAAACCGTTGTTTGAAAGCTACCTGCTTGTTACGCGCATTGTTTTATCAGTTTTCAGCGACTGATCCCAACATCGCTTTGGCGTTTATTGACATTTTGAAATCCTTTGATTCGTTTTTGGGGAACCCAATAATCAGATCTGCTGAGGTGTTCGGAGGACCTTCATCCCTGGTTCAATTCATCGCACACTCCTATGAGAATGCTATAACAGTTTTCTTCACTTCCAAGGTTCACTTCCGAGGAGATGCGAAGCAAGGTGATCCACTCTCCCTAATACTGTTCATCATAAGGCTGGGTGAGAATCCCGGATTATCAATACCTTTACTGAGTTTCTATATCCATGACACCTTTGTGGATGGTTTGCCTTCGCTGACGACTGCGTAATGTGTGCAGATGGTCAGAGTAACTTTAAAGGTATCGCTTTGGAAGGAGTTGGTACGACGATAAACACCCGAAGGAAGAAAGGACTAATGATTTTTAAGGAGAGAGAATAATTGGACAACATGATCCAAGGCAAACCTTTTTGTCTCGGCGAGAAACTTAGCACTCAGCTGGAGTCAAACTACGCCATCGCAAGATTGCACGTTTCCGTTAATTTCAAGTGGAAAGGAGTCTGAAATTTCAGTCCTTAGTACAACGGGTCCAGCACAGCAGAAAGCGCTCACAAAAACCGTTTTTCTAAGCCGCACCGAGTACCACACAGCGTGGTTAATGATCCTTGATTTGGTGAGGTTGTTCGGGATCTCAGCCTCCAGATTCCGATCCAAATTACGTGCGTGAACACAAAAGAAGCAATGGTTGCTGCCTAAGATGAAATTCTGCATAACAGCATTAATGGTTGCGTTTTGCTTGAGCTGACCGCTTACTCTATTGTGAATTGATGACTTGCATTTCCAGAACACATATTCCTTCAGGCACTTATCCGCGTTATCAGTCTGAGCAACATGCTGAGCACATGAAGTAGAACCTCTTGGCATTGTTGTGGTGAGCAGACGGCTTTCTGTAGTCTGTGGCGAGCCGGAGATGCTGGTGAATGTTCTGGAGTGCTGCTAAACCACGCATGATGTTCGGCGTGCCTGTCATAATCGGCTTACAAGCGAACTCAGAAAACCTCTCTTTTGTTTGCTACCTACCTTTTTCGAGGGAGCAGAATAATCCACTCCAACGTCTCTCATCTTGCCGAAGCTGACTGCTGTTTGTGAGCGCCGTTCAACGGGTTAGACGAAAGCACAAGCTCTAATGCGAAGTGTTTACATGGAATGAGGAAACGTAGGAATGCGTTGCTGACGAATGTCCTCTTGGAGGTATTTAAACCCTAAGTGCCATTGATTTTGATCCAGATTTTCTGGTTCACGAGCCCGATGATCAATTCTCGATGCGATGAGACGGTTGGTATAATGAACCTTGCCAAGATCGAAGTCAATGTCTTGATCTTTTCTCACTATTTTGGACTCCCCACGTACTTGGGACAAATTTATTAGCAATATATTTGTCTTTCTGGCCGAAGTCTGTCACATCTCACACTGCATGGCTGTGCAAGCACGTTCTACGAATTGCAATGTACTCAGCGTTGTTTGTTGTTTATTTGCAGTTCCGCAACTGTGTATTTTTAGATCAGAATTCCCCACATGCCATGAAGGTGACGAGTTTTTCTGAAACTCTCTCTCTCTTGTGCATTTTATTATTCCTGTACACTTCCCTATTTCTTTCGCTGGCAACTTTGTTAGTAGTCTTGATACTTGGGAAAGGATGACATTAGTGTAGTAACAACTGTAATGGCCAGAAATGCTGTGTTGGTTGCAAAAGTTTCCGATATACTCTAAATCGTGTTCAGTAAGTGGCATGTACCACGTATTGCCTCATAACGCGTTATGAATTATCGCATCCGGCCAGTTTGCCTAATGTTGATAGTTTTGCCTCAGTTAATAGTCTGGGAGCAAACTAAAAATCACCTTTTTCCAGGACTTACGCTTATAAGACCTGTGATTATTAGTGGTAAAGGGAAGAAGGCCTTTACTGCGGAATTATTTATTAGAAAATGCCAACCGAACAGTCACAGACCGTTGGACAGGGAGGAAAAATTCTCATATGCATCTTGTTAACAAAACTGAATATCCATCTTCTCTTGAACGCGTCTTCCTGAACTTTACTGGATATTCAGTGACTTGCTCAAACCCAAGCAAATACTACAAAGTGACTCCACAAGTTCCGTGATAGATTGCACTTCTCAAGAGACGCAGAGCGGATTTACGAGAAAACATACTACTCGCATGCCTCCCATCAGTAGTGTCACCCTTCACAGGTAGGCAGGTGTCACAAAATTTTCAGGTGTTTAACTCAGTTATCCACATACAGACTGGAAATTTTGTGGCAATACAATGTCGGTTCGAAGGGATTTACCTATGTGGGGTTGAAATTTCACACGACTCCTGTCTTCAATCAGGTACAAATTGGGTGATTTTCCGGGATTAATTGATTGGCATGTGCTGAATTTATAACCTTCTCATGGATCACAACAGGCGATTGCGCTTCATAATGAGGATGGTTGACCGGTAAGATTTGGTTTGGCGTTCTTAACTGTACTGACACTTATCCTTACTGTTGCTAAGTTATGATTGCGCACTCCCATAACCGTTGAAGGCAATTTAAGCGTTCCTAGAATAAGCCCACTACTATCACTGTGTGTGTGGGGTGCGTATAGTTCACCATTTATAGAACTATTTGATCACATGGAAACTAGTCGCTGGTTAATCGATAGAATAGAATGACAGATAGAATGATCGACTCACTAATCGCTTGTGATCGTAGACCACGAAGGCAATTAAGTTGTCAACTAGTGCAGTTCTTGCGTCGTTCCGGATAAACCTTCGAGATTCTTGATGGAAAATTTTCTCACAACATTCAACGAGATAGACAAAGGTCAGCGAAACGTCATCTACAGAGAGGATTTGCAAAAATATGTGGACGAAAACGAATTAGACGAAAAAATGGTGGAGGTGAGTGTTAGAATTCTACCAGAAAGCACAGTCATATTGTCTTTAAAAACACTGCTTTCTTGTGTGCACTGCATAAATACGAGTAAATTTGTTCGGGTCGAAAAGAACTTCACGATATTGGAGAGAGGAATTTCGAGTAGACAATCGAAGTACTTATTATGTTTTGGCAGTGGAATTTCCATGTTTACAGATACACTTCTACATCCGCGGTTCAAAATGACACTTTTCAATGTTTGGGTAAAATTCTTCCACTTGCACATAGACAAGACCCGTTGTGCTACGAAGCCGCAAAGTACGCATTTTTTTAGATTTTTACATCTATTTTTAAGATAGTAATTTATATCGTAATACCCGTTAAGCATAGTGCTGTACTAGCAGCCTGCTTCATCAGTTGCTAAGATGAATCCAATGCTCCAAAGCATGATCAACTCCTCAATTTATCTAGCTGTAGTAAGCTTACCATGGAATCTACACTAACACAATGACATTTGGAACTCTTAGACCTCTGTTATGCATGGATTTGCTTGTTTTACAAAGTTGTATTGCTGAGTAGTGATGTAGTTCACTACTGTAGTCCTGATACTGGTTTGTATCCATTTTCATGCTTTCTTCCGTTCGAGACTAATTTTGTGACAGCTAGGCCTGATGATGGGAATCCTCAAGTAGGTTTTTTTCGTTTAGCTTTAGCACCCTTCCGGTGCCTAGCCGACATGCCACCCGAAGGAAGACCGAGAGTTAGATTAGTGTCTGGTTGCCCAAGCCTAGACAGGAGAAGTCGAGATGCAGAGGTCCGGCTCGAATCAAGGAACTATCGGTCAGTAAATTAATGCTCCAACCACTTGAGCAACCTGGCCCCTGCACTACCACATTAAGTAATCTCTCTACCACTTCGACAAAACGTGTGACTTTAGCGAAGCCTAGGAGTGATCGTATATTAGGGAGTACTTTAGCAGTGCGGCGAAAAACTGGAAATCAGTACCTAAATTCTGGATCGCATTTGTGAGAATGTACTATACAGGGGCGAGATGGGCCAAGTGGTTAGAGCGCGAATTTAAGGACCTGAAGGTTTCTGGTTCGAACCCGACCTCTGTCTCTCAACTTCTCCTGTCTAGGCTTGGACAACCTGGCAGTATCCCAGCCCTAGAGCAGCCTTCGGGTGGCATGGCAGCTAGGCACCGAAAGGTTGCTACGGCCGAACGATTTTTTTCTGTACAGATCAGTGTTCGCTTCAGTGACATACCTCGGCAGATTCCAGCGTGCTGCAACCTAAGTTGGGATATTTGGCTTTTGTCCTGGAGAATTTGCGATGAAAACTGGAGATGTGTATCATTCCTTGAGTATAAGTGGTCAAATCCCAAAGGTATTTTGCGCAACGTCAAACAAATGGCTTGATTACATGTATGACCACCTAAATCAGTCTTTTGTTACCGAAAATAAACCTAAAACTGTGCACCTATATACTTTGGATGCTGTTGGAACTTTGTTTGACTAATGGTTCTGGATTAACTTCTGATGACTGAGGTTGCAGTGTACGTGCCTTTAAGTATCTTTCCCAAGTTAAATCTATTTTGGTATGTGGTTTCTAGAGTTACAGGCGTTTCACTCTCACCAGTTTCTTGCTATCCGTCTAGCCAGACTAACTGTTCCACGATGTACACCTAACACAACACATTTCGAGGCAAACTACCTGAGCGCAGACCTGATCTTTCAAACTCCACGCTGAAGAAGATTTAGCAACTCAATTTTCAAACCAAATTTATTTGAAGTTGAAAATGTTGGATAAAGAATGTCATGTGTCACCAGAAAAGGGTCCTGTTGGCGAAGTAGTGGCCAGGATGTTCAGTTTTCCAGGTGGTACTTGCTCTGTAGTTATTTGAGATGACCACCCTCTCAAGTTATGCATAACATCGAGTGGCTGTCAGATTTGACATTTGTTAACTTTCATTCTACGTTAAGTCAGGTTTACATTTCATCTGTAAATGTGGCCGCATGAAGCCACGTTTACCACTTTTTGCATTAACCTGGAATCAATGTCAAACACCATTTAGACCCTTCAAATCTGACATTTTCCAACGTTATGCGCCATTTTGTTCCAAAGTCGACTTCAGAAAACAGTCAAAAGCGGTTTAAAGTCCCTCTGAATTGATGGAATAATATACTTTTGAAACTTATCCAACCAACCGAGAAAGAATCTGTTCGCATTCTGCTTAGCTGAGCAGTATTTCTTACAAGTAAAACTCACCGCAAGCGTTAAGGACTACTTTACTCTCCTTTGGCTACCTAGACACTTCATCCCCACGGATTTGAGCAGTGGGTGAAATCAAGCTGTCTAAAAAAGTAATTGAAAATTGGAATTGACACTCGGAGAACAGTACTTGTGAATCATAGCCCACATTTGGTTTGCCGACTGTGATGCTTATTCCAAAAGTACAGGACTGGCTGGTTATAACCGGAATCCGGTTATTGACCCAAAAAGATCTTGGTTAATTCGCCATAGGCTCAGCTGAAACCGATGAGGTACTATTGCGATAGGACGGTAAAGGTGAGACACACGGGTAAATATTCGTCTTACATCAGTACCAACGTTCATTCAACGTGGATTCCACGGGTCACAACAGACCGAGCCAATAGATGCTTGTTCACAGGGTGCCTATTCGTTAATAACAAAGTTGATCTTGTCCTCGTCAGTTAACACAGGGGATACTACCAAGCCTGTTTTAGGTGCGCGGCTATGACACTTTTTTTCACGGACTAGTTCAATTAATTTTTATAATTCTGATTGTCTAACCTCCTGTCAGCTCGCAACTTTTCCAAATGGCACAACAGCAGATTTGATACTGGAGCACCGTTTTTTAGCATCATACTTGTCTCTTTCCGATAACTCAAATAAATCTTCAGTCGATTTCCTTAATGAAAGAGGGAAAGCGTACTGAAGTACGCAATCCAACACCCAAACCCTGATTCCAGGATGAATTGAGCTTGTTTGAATTAATCTCACGTCCTGGGTACAGACACGAAAGCTTGGGTCTGTGCGACGGGATCGGTGCGTATCCTATGCTACTGCCAGCCGTGTTGTGTTGCTAACAAGCATTTTACTGGAAGTTTAGAAAAATCAATATCTACTCTAATTTGCATCACAAACTCGTGACGTGACTGATGTAAACATTTTAGTGTGGCGAAGCAAAACCTGTTCAGGTAATAACGGGCTAGGTCATGTTTGGGCAGGTGATGAATTTTATTGCTGCTGGTGCGTACTAGTAGGGCAAACCAATAGATCGATAAAATAAAATACCCTAACATTGATGGTGAGACTGACGCTAAATGTAATAGGAATGATTGATCATGGACCCACAGGTTAAAGCAGGAGCAATATAAACTTTACCGCGAACATATCTTTTGCTGTTACAACTGTCACCGTCGTGTTTTTAAGTATTTTCAATATTCCTGCTTTACAGTAACGGGTAGATGACAGCCCCTGATTTGTCCAAACAGCATGCGAAAAAATTCGACTATAAAGTCGATTGCATGCTCCTCGTGTCACTCTAATATCATTCGGTTAATACCTTGATGCTGACTGAAACATTTTTGATGACTTACGTTACCTAGACTCACATCAATTTTTCAGTTATGATGGCTCAAACGCACATATCAGTGTGACTCCAGCCCACAGAGCAGACGGAAGATTTCGCCCCAGATGTAATACAGCTAGGTGTTTCAAGTCACATCTGCCAGAATCAGGAGACCGTATAAGTGACTTGGGAAGATAACATGTAAACAGTACTCCTTTAGGGCAGTCCTCCTATAATCTCCCCGGAAGTATAATATGCACCCACTAAGACTACCTATGTAATGTCCCCCGATGTTTAAGTTAAAGGGTTTCCAGCTGTGACACCGGTCACAGTCCTCTGACAATACAACGAAATTTGCTTCTAGGTATAAATGTTTGCCGATACGTGGCAAAAGATTTCTTACACCAGGGAAGTGTGTAAGTAAGTACACCGCACCACATTTCTTCTTCCATCGGTTGTCTGGTTCCTTGAAACAATTCCTACTAAGGTGAGAGTTGACCGCACAAAGAGCTTTGGGGAAATGACGCTTTGGGTTCACAGTAAAATGGTCATTGACAAGTGGGATCCTTCTGCGGAGACTGTCATACACAGCCAACTACGGAAGCTGTCGAACTTTAGGTTTTTGTGTATACCTCTGAGTCCATTTTCATGGCGTTTGTATTCCCGACCAATGTTTCTAATAAAATTTTATCATAAAAGAATCATTTTTCTCAGGCAGTGTAGTCCCTCACTGGTCATATCTGAGCATAATGACAAAACAAATTGGGAAACGATCCTGAACAAATGGGGGAGGGTCAGTTAGGTTAGGGGAGGTGGTCCGGGCATGCGTGGTCATCGGTTACTTATGTAGAACTGACAGTTTATTTTAGAATTGCAGCATCATTTTGAAGCTCATGCAACCAGACTTGACGTCCCATGTTAAAAGTCCCGTCTCAAAAGACAAATCACTAACGTCCCTGTCCACACATACAACGCCCAGTCTGGCGTTTCGGCCACATGCTTGCGGGACTTGTTTTAGCATTGTCACACACCAGCATGTTTGGGCCATGTCAGGACAAGAATGACTATTGCACTTCATAATACACACTCTTTGTCCATATAGATCTGGAGAATAAATCTAAATCTGATGAATCAATCTAAGAATAAATATACCCAGAAACCGCAAGGTCAACGAACTTGTCTCTCCAAAAATGATGCAGAAACTACATTCGAAAATCTCATTAATTAGAGGAATGGGAGCGCGATCGCTAGTGCATACTAACGTGAACGAAATTTTTTTGTTCTGTTATTTCCCAGCCTGGCGAACACGATTGCCCATCCAAGACAAGGTGTTGTGAATTTTGCAGATCCAGCAACCATTTGCAATTGGTCGAAAATTGTCAACCTGATTTCAAACTGTTCCTTATTGGGAAGTCATAGAAGGCGTTTCGGTAGTCACTGATACAACTGATATTATACCTTTTTACTAAATAGGTACAAAACCACTCGCTATCTGTCGACTGCCTGATGATACTAAAAATAAAGCGGTTGAAATGTTAGAATCCATCCTTTGAAAGCAATCCTTTTTGTCACAGCTGAATCTGGCTAGCTGGAACAAGAGGTAATCATATGTTCCACGCGACAGGCTCCAGAGATGTGCATGCAGTCACATCATGCTCACACACGAATGTATGCCTCAGCTTCGTGTATTCATGCCATGAGGTTTTCGACAGGTATGCAGTACTTGATTAAAAACAACATAACTTATCGGAACCAATCTTCACTAAACTCTTGAAGCGACTGTTGTATCTGCAAGCAAAAAGAGAGCCGGTTAAGTGCGGGTGATAATGTGGAAACGAGGGTCACAACAAAGACAATCTTACCGTGGCTCATCTGCCAGAAGCTGCGTTTTTATCTTGAGACCCCCTATCGAAATATAAGACACGCTTCATTGATTGACAGCCTGTCCCTTGAATTTACCGTCTTTGGACTTTTCAGTAAGTGTCAAATGATGGGAAATCTGAGTTCATGCGAGAATCACTCTAGATTCTAAATAAATGGGCAGCTGTTTGTTCAGAGACAAGACAAAGTGGTAAGAATTATAGAAATTTGCCCATCTAACAAGCTAGAAGAGAAGTGGGAAATTTATCCAGGATCGGCGGACATCGGGAATTACCACGGGGAAGTTTGGTGGAACCTAATATGCTGAGTCGACGAATATTTCATTCACACAGTTGGCATCGCTTTTCAGCTCATATAATGATAAACGTAATTCGCAATTAGGAAATAAGTTGGGACTCGTAATTTTGTCTGATGTGCTCTGAAGCTTGAAAGTGAATTCTAGAAATTTTCCTGAAACTACGCATCAGTTCGACCTTTTGACCGGATGAGGTTGCCGAATTTAATAGTCAAGGATACTACTGCATTGGTAATCTGAACGGCTATTGTAATCTGAGGTTGCAGATGAACTCGTATTTAGACGCGAAAGAATAAATTCTCGCGCAGTACCTGCTATGTGCACACAAGACAACCCTCCAACTCGGTTGTTTCCAAGACTGCAATGAAGTTGCTCTGTTCGGAGAAACCCGAACAGGTATGTTGCTCGACCATGCATACAGTTAATACTGAACGTAGTTTACATTTGTTGATTTCACAAACGAATGGAAAGTCAGTCTATCAGATTGATATTTTGTTCTTTTTTCTTTTAGCGTTGGTTGGAGGTGTTTGATCTGGAGAATAGGGGAAGAATAACCTTGGAAAACTACTGCAGCGTTTTGGGAATTTCATTGGAATCCGAGTGAGTTTCAATTGATCCGAAACGTCTTCCTGGTTTGTTTAATGACTAACCATGTACCCGTAAGGTGGCAAAATTCCGCTACCTAGAATATAAATGACTCTGCAAATGACTCTTCGTATCCGAATACGATCAACTCATAGGTCGTTTCCTCCTTGATACATATTTGAAAACGGACCCAGTCGGCATGTTATATTAGAAGGCATAAAATGCTTCTTAGTTAGTCAACAAAAACGATTGTCTTACGTTTTGTTTTTTTTCAATGAACTGGATAAATTTGGTTGCGAGGGTTTCATGAGCATCCAATGTGAGTGTGAACGCACTCCCAATGAATGGGAATGCGTCGAAGCTGGAACAGTCAAAATATATTTGAACTTGAGTAGTCCATGTTTACCTTGGATTCAGCGACATAACCCCACCAGATAACCTGCCCATCTAATTTTAACGAATTTAGCTTAAAATGTACTAACATATTCACTGCCTAATTCATACCCAGCGCGCCCGAATGCATGTATCACCCAGAAGTGCGTGCATTGCATAATTTCTGGATGTCGCATTTCAGATTACTGGATTGTGGAATTTCAATGTGTCACAAATCATTAAGCCATGAGCCCAGGAATGTGATGGTATGGCTTAGAAAGCAGATATATCGTTATCACACGTTTCACACCGAGAATGGCAAGGGAGTGATAACCGACAAAGCGACAAAACGTCTCTTTGTGCGAACCACTTGGTAGTCGACACATCAATGCGACTGTATTTTGTTACAATCAGAAGGCCAGCGCTAAAATTTGGTATCTGATTAAGTTGTGCCAGAAAGTCAGAGAGCTGCTTAAAGTGTTATTGTCAACTAAAATAACCCAACATGTTTTATCCTGTGTGTGAACTACTTAAACATCATCTGGCTGTCTCAGTTTCGACCGACAGTTGCAGATCGGACTAACTAACCTCCCACTTAATCGTGTTTCACTTTTGAAATAGGCCTAACCAAAGGGTGATTGCAATCTGTTATGTAAGCTAACTCGCCGTCTTTTGCTGACTTATTCTACAGACTCATTTCATTTCATTACTTTTCATTACCTTTCATTACCTTTTCATTACCTTAGAAAAATTCAAACGATACTTGAGAGCTCATTACAAACGAGAATGTCTGAATCATTCCGGCTGTACCGGTGGGCTGGTATGGAAAATGTGAAATTCCCCTGAGAGGACGGATGTGTTATCAGCGATGTCCGGTTCCCTTATAAAAGGGAACGCCTGGTACAGCTGCATGAGTGAATTCGAAACCGGAAGAGTAGTCTTATAACGTGGGAGAATGATGGGCCCTGCTGGCCTAAACCATAGGATTACTCAGCTTGTGGGTTACAAGCTGTTCCAGACAGACCGTCCTGGAAGTTATCTTAGTGATAAATGTTATATGGATGGTGCGGTTTCCAGACTCTTCCGTATAGCTTTTCCTGCCAAAGTGCCGTTTAATCACATTGCTGACTAGCCTATCCAGGCCGAACAGTCAAGTGCTCCACGAATAGCCTGGAGGTCACGGATTCGAAACTCTAGAGTATAAAACTGCTGTCCAATGCTTTTCATCTCCACTCCTCTCGGCACCAACTCTGATCTATTTTCTCGTGGTGACCTCATCTGCACTACCTTGATTCCTTATAGTAATGAGTGTCTTCCCATGTTTATCGATTATGTATAGTGGCTCTACACTTTCCTTGGGTTGCATAATGACGTTCACTTCCCAACTAGATTTGTCAAAATTTAATGTGTGCTTGTGGATATGACATCATTTTGCTTTACGAAGGAGCATCCACTTTGGATCATTTGACCATAGCATTTTGGGCGTTTTTTCAGATGCAGTCTCTAATAAAAGTCTGACGAAAGCTAAGCCAGTGGAACTGGCCGGCACAGTATTTTGGACAACGGATGAAGAATATACTTTCCCCATTGGGTTTTGCGCGTCTGATGACCATCAACCTTTCATAAATGAAGAATACCTGACCGGTCATAATCACTTCCGTATTGACGTGTTTTCCCGCGTATAGATTATATACCTGAGGTGTGGTAGACTTTCGTTACCGATTTGTCAGAAAATTTGGAGGTTGGATAGAAAGCTTCATCAAAATAATTCAGATATAGATCTAAAAGCTGGGGGAACAGCCTGAGGGGAATCGCCTGAATGGAAAATGTATTCAAACGTCACTTAGAAACTAGTGTTGCTGTTGGTCCATTGTCGTCTTTGATAGAGATTGGGATTATATACCCATACACGTGAAACACTGAAAGAACGCTGCCGAATGTAAGAGTGACAGTACTATTGTCATAAGACTAGCCAGAACACTTGTGTTTATGGGCGGGTTACTTTCAACTACTCATAATCATAGCGTATGTTCGATAAGCTACTTTTGGATGTATCAATTCGTTTGAAGTGCAGGCTCAGAAAATTTAATCCATAAGGCCATTTAGAAGTGATTTTTGAAAATTTTTACTTCCGTCCTTTTCTCTGTAGCGAATTGACTATGATCGAAATCTTATAAATATTTGCTTGTTCCGATTCCTACATTCGTGCTTTATTCCATTTAACTGTTTCACTTGACCACAAAGAAGGGTGTGTGGTAATCAGACTGAAAGTAGTCTTGGTTTATGATTCTAGGATGTCATGGTATTAGAAGTGGATGGCATCATGATATTTCGCTTCACGACTGGAATTTCGGGTCTTATGATATGGTATGTTTACATATAGGTTTGATTCCAATCACTGTACTGCGGAACTTCTCATGGCAGCAATGCTAATGGAATTTCCGACTCCAGCTCACGGTGAAAAATAAAGCCGATCTTCAATGCCTCTATAAGAGGTCATTGCCTACCACTAGGGAATCTTTCGAAACCACCACAGTGTTCGAGATCTTGCTCCGCTGTGTAGATTCTCCTAATTTGTAAGCGTACATATGCGAACCGTTTTTCACTGAGCAAGTAAAAGCAAACACCCAAAACGTCTCCTTTCTGGCAGATCTAAAAACTATATTCACAAAGATGAACTACCTATCACATGTTAAATGAAATGTAAGTACGTGATCGGTCGTGAATAGGTCGTATTGTTGGTTAATCCGTCCGCAGTAGAAAGTGATCAGACATATTCCTTTACAATCAGAAGGATGTACAGAAAAGAATAAACGATATACATCTTTTTGAAAAATGATTATCAAATACCCCGAGGTTTTTCTAACAGGAACATGTTGATTTTGCGCCAGGATACCTGATTATTCTTGGTGTGATTTGGAAATTCCGCATTTCGTGAGCTTCCTGTTTTTGGCTTAGTCATCCTAGTCTACATTCCTAAGTTCCACTTTAATCGTCTCATTCTTGAGACAGTTGGCTACAGAAAAGCATGCGGTTTAAGTGCCTGTTTTGCTGAATGCATTAGAACCCTACTTCGGAAAAAGAACAATACCGGGCGTTCCAGAAGAGCAGAGCGCACATCTGTTAAGCAAGGTAGATGACGGTGCTAATTTGGGGCGATGATTTGGTTAAGTTGTTAAGAAGAGTATTAAAAACGATGCGCATGATTTTATTAACATGGTTCCATGATTCTTCATTAACAAGATCAAATCAACCTAATGTTCAACTCCCGCAGTGATTTTGGATCTATTATGCTTTCCGCAAAGCCATTTTGTCAGAATTATCCCAAGTCATTTTACCTATCTGTTGATCTTTGACTCCTTTTAACCAATTTCATAGGATTTTTTGAACTTTCAATGTGAACTGAAAACAAGCTTCCAATGGGAAGATTGTCATCCCTCAAAAAGCACTTCTTCTCCTTGTAGTGTTGCGATTGTGGTCAGATAACTCCAATTCCTCACCCCAACTAGACACGTTTCAATGGCATTTTTTTGCTGGCATCTTACATTCGAAGTAGTTCATGAGTATCTGAATGCAAGAGAAGAGTTTCGATGTTGTGGATGATGCTGGAAGTGCTAAACTAACCATACTCCAAAATTTGCATGCGATATCTAACTTTAGAACATTGATAGTAGAGTTTGTCACACGCATTCTGTAACATTATTCTGGACAGTTTGATCAAAATAAGTAGATATGGAGAAGTGGTTTGCATGGGAAAGGAGATGGGGTAGGAATTTCACTTCAGTAGTAATAATTATATGTTTCTGAATAGTTTCTTTGTTTTGGTTGACGACGTTTGTAAGTAAAGAAGGAATACATCTCTGGGATTAGGAAGGACTTAACGCAGCAACAGCACTCGAATTGGGATCAGAAGCTGCTCTTGTTTGACAAGTTTCGTGGCTTATGATAGGTCACTGGTAACGGAGCTGGCTGAACGGACAGAGCTCCATAGCAAACGTAATCGGACTGACACTGCATTGAAATAGGTTACGTTGATTTTTGAGTAGGAGCACTTTTGAGATATGGGAATAACCTAAGCAACCGTCCAAATAATCCAGGTATGGACAACACGCATGTAGCGAACCAGAGGAGGAATAAATCATACCGAAAGCGAGATGTGTATATGTATGGATATATATGATACATGATATGCATATATATTGATATATATGAATAATTCTGTGTTGAGTATAGAGCCTCTATAGGAGCCATGACAAAAAGCTGCTGCCAGAAAAGAGCAAGCAGGGTGGACCGGGACCAGGATGACCTCAATAGGGATAACCAAACCTATCCGGATTCCACATTTAGACTGTTAAAACCGAGCTATGAACGTTTCTGGTCTGAATGAAGGCGGGGGAACCTTGCCTAACTTGATTGGAATAATGTTCTGTATGTCTGACTCAGGTAGGTTGGACATTAACAGAAAGCAAGTGACTAGTTATATTTTAATAGTTCACTACCTAAAGGTTGTTTATTAAACATCCATGTATGACGAAGTTAATGTAACAGACTAGAGGAGAACCATCCTTGTTCTAGAAGAAATGAGCCTAGGAAATATTGCCAAGGAGTAATAATGCTGTACACTGAAGCGGATAAAACGTTGG